CCTATCATCACCACCCCTGCTGTCCAATCTACTACTACCCCCACGGTTACTGCGCCACCCACGAGAGTACCTGAGGTCACATTGCCGGCTGCCTTACACCGATAAGCTCGCAGCGTCCCAGCACATTCCTTTTAAGATTGTTTAGTTGTTCTGGGAGTCCATTGTTTTTGCAAACCGTTCCTGCTTTGTCGCTTATGTTGTTCGAAGGGTGGGCAAACATAAGTTGGTTGTTTCTCTGCCACGGACAGATTGATCTGGGTCAATTGTGCCCGGCGCGATAACAATAAATTAAAGAACCGGCCAAGATTCGCTTCCCGCCAGCCAACGTACTTGGCAGGGTCTTGTGGCGTCCGTAGAAAAGTGTGCGTTAAGCCTTTGGTAATTTTTCGACAGCATACTCCTTCCGGACTCCATTCAGCCCACAGGTCACAACCGGCTTACCAGCTGGTTGAGAGTTCTCTCATTGTTACTGGGTGGCTCAAATGGTGACGGCAGGGGGGGCGAGTTACTCAATTGGTGGTTCGGGTCGGCGACCGCTTGACGGTTCGGTTCGGCGACCGTTTGACGCGGACGTGAAGTCCGGATCCCCATCGGAGCTCGGGCCGCCGTTGAATGGTCAAGGAGGATGTTGATTTATTTCGTGGAGTTGAAGAGAATGGGTCGCCCAAGGCGCTGGGCCTCCAAGTACGTCGAGTGTATGTTGCTGACAGGCGTTGGAAGTACCCCAAAGGTCGGGGCGCCTTAAGGCCCGATCGGCCTTAAGGGGGGCGGGCTCACCTGCTGTTGATGAGGTATAACTGAAGGTCTTCGGAGCGGTCGAATACACGCGGAACACGGTTGTCGAACAGATGGAGACGCCGAGCTACTGAACGTGATGCGTGTCATAATGTTCGGGACACCGACGCTCCGTGCTCAACAAGTCGATTTTCTCAACTTACTTTCGCGAAGAGGCCAAACAGCGCAGTAGGTTTTTTTGGCGGGTACTTGGCAACGACGTTTCCACTGTTGCAACGTAGTCACATTTAATTCGGTGCATCGCGAAGGTAGGGGGGAGTTTCCCGTCAACATCAAAATCCATCTAACGTGTGCTGTCCCGTTGCCATGAACATTTACGACACACTCGCGCGTTGAACCAGTTCAACTCAATCGAGATGGAGGCAGCGACACAACCCTTCCTGAGCGCGTAGCGGCAGAACTGATGGGCGAGTCTGGGGAAATGGGCCGAAGCTTCTCATTTTCGATCGAAATTGCGAAGAACGAACTGAGGTAGCTAACCGATGCAAGATCGAGAATACCGACGCGTTTAACGGAGCGAAGCCACCGCTGGAAGTCCTCGCGCCGTGAATAACTGAGCCGCCTAACCCGTCCGATATTTAGCCCTTGTCAAAGAAGCGAAACCAACGATCAGGATTGGTCCAGCAGGTATATTGAGCTGGACGTGAGAATTACACAAAAGGGCTGTTACA